ATTTGGATTAGGAAACTCCTAATGGGATTAGGAAAACCTCTACTTAAGTTTATAAATAGGAGAGCAGGGCGAACCCTCATAACACAACATAAATCATCTAAGTGACTGTTGATTTCCAAAGAGAAACAACACAGTTTGACTGCACTGTCTCCTTCTCTCCTGCTCTTGCCGCCATACCAGTTCGATCTCCACCTGTAGAAGCGATCAAGAAGAGTTATTGATATTACCTTTTGGCATAAAAGGTAATCTGAAGACGTGCTCACTAGCCCTCAATCAGATTCTTGCTGAAGAATTCGGTTTTTGCTGAAGAACTATCGTGTTGATTCTGATTCATCTTGCACCGTGTCATCTTCGATGGAAGCAGTCTTTGGATCTTTCCTTGGGCGTGAACACCTTCATTGGAGGTTATTACTACTTTGTATCAGGTATATCCCTCCACTCCCTTCTGGTTTCAGATCTGGTCTAGTTTAGGTTCAAGATTGATCATTGAAAATGTAGTTTTCTAAAATAGGGAATGTGATTCCCACATGGGAGAGAGAGAAATTTTTGAAATTTCGCCCAACCTAGCTGCAGGGTTCAGCTATCTATATGATGGATCTCTCATCCCTTCACGAACAGCTTTTACAGCCTTGCATTGGGAATATTTTAGTACTTATGCACTTTATTTCATGAGAAGATATTTTCAATACAAAGCTGAAAGAGGTTGTTGGAATGGTATGAGCACGGGTTTGCACTGATCGAAGCCAAACTCCTTCAGTTAGGTTTGGGGGAAAATTTTGTTGAGTGGATAACATGATGTTTATCACCAACCTAACCAATCAAGTTTTTGTAAGGCTACGTTTGTTTGGGGTGGAAAATTGAACTGGGGTAAACTTTATACCCCAGTTCAATTTTACTGGCGTTTGGTAAATATGTAATTTTATATCGAAAATCGGTGTAAAATATACATCGGTGTAAAATTTCATTTTGAATTTTATTTACATCGACAATCGATGTAATATATACATCAAAATTATTGATGTAAAATTAACTGTCCTTTCTTCCTCTCTCTTCTTCTCCTCTCTCTCTCTCTCTCTCTCCTTCTTCTTCCCCCTTTTTTTTCCTCTTTCCGTCGTCGCCGCTGCATTGCAACAGTAGATCTAAACCCACCTCCAAAGGGAGAGTCGGAGATGACCCAAAAGGAAGAAAAAGCACTAGTCCAGTCGGCCCCTCCAGTTGCAACTGGCTTTGTTGCGAGTGATCTCTCTCTCTCTCTCTTCTTCTTCTTCTTCCCCCCCCCCTTTTTTTTCTCTTTCCATCACCACCGCTGCAACCAATTGCAGTGGCATATCTGAACCCACCTCCAAAGGGAGAGCCGGAGAGGACCCAAAACAAGGTAGTCCAGTCGGCCCCTTTTTCTCTTCTTTTTCTTCCTCTTTCGTTCTCTCTTTCTCTCTTTCTCTCTTTCTCTCTTCTCCTCCTCCTTTTTCTTCTTCTTCTTCCCCCGCCTCCTCCACTGCAGATTGTCTTTTCCTCCTCTACACCATCTCACCAAATTTACACCTTAACAACTAAACAAAGTAAATTTACCTTCAGTAAAATGTGGGATGGGAAAACATTAACTGCGACCAACAGCTCAAATACCTTCAGTAAAATGTGATCACGAAAAATTAAAAAAAAATATATATCAACTAACCTGATGTGTTGAATTTCTTTCAAACACTGACGTGCGGCCATATCGCAGGTAACAATTAAGACATGTCACAAGTTAACAATATGAGACCCCTTTTTGAAGGGGTCCTCCCGTGGGCCCTGCCCTACCAATGGCGTGGCAAGGGAATCGAAGATGTCATGTGCACTGTGCAGTCTACTTAAAAACTCGGTTACGTTGAAGTTTGAACTGATGGAATCGAGGGAGGATTGGCCACCGGTTGGTGGGGGTGGAGAGTTAACACTTCACAGTTATAAAGCAAGGAGGAAATGGAACTGGAAAGAAACCAGAAAGGTGGCCTCACCCACTTTTCTTGTCTTCTCATCACTTGCTCTCGCCTCTCGGGCATTAGTTGCCATCTTTTACGGTTTCCGTTTCCCGGCGAATATGAGCTTCCAAGATATCGAGAATGGCGGGAAGCTACCCACTTTCGGCCTTAACTCTTCACTTCAGAATCCTTCTCAGGCTGTGGCAGCTGGAATCTTTCAGATCAATACTGCCGTCGACATATTCCGTCGGCTTGTTGATGCCATTGGAACATCTCAAGACACCCCCGAACCGCGCCAGAAGATGTAATTGAACTCTCTCTCCCTCCCTAGCCTCTATCTGTTCCGCCATTTCTTTATTGAATTAAACCACCTCTTTGTGTTTTAATCTCAGTTTGGCTTATCCTTGTATCTTCCTGTGCATGGTTTGTACAGGCACAAAACGAGGCTACGGATTGGACAGTTAGTTAAGGAAACTTCTGCTAAGCTCCGAGTTCTGAGTGACTATGATCATGGCAGCAATGTTAGTGTATGCAATACGTTTTTTTCTTTTTTTTTTTTTTTGCCCTTTTCTTTTCTATTTCCAAGTTACTGTTCTGAAAACAAAGCTTAAGAGTTAAAACTTTTCTTGTTTGCTTTCATCTTGAAATTGTTCATAGACTTTTGTTTTAAGTTTTATTGTAGAGCAAGTGGGGGGTAGACCGTAGACACCTCAACCCAGGTGAAGGCGGGACTCGATCCTTAGGTCTTCGCTACAACCAGCTAGAGACTTTACCAGCACTAGCAGGCTAGCTGGCACCTTTCAGCAAGTGCAGTAATTCATGTCTCAGAATCGATTTTTTTACTACATTTTTTCTGATTGGGGATTTGGACTGTAAAATTTTGATTAACTTAGTCTGGCTTCAAATAGAACGGATTGGTGATGATGTAACCAACCCAACTATAGTTGGGATAAGCCATGGATGATGATGATGATTGATTGATTGATTAACTTAAAATTTTATTTGTCAAATAAAAAAAAAGGATAGAAAGTTAAAGCACATAAGATCTGGGAGGAATTCTTGTTCGCCTTGGTTTGTTGTGAAACTGCTGCTTATTATAAAAAGTTAGGTTTCTTATAAATAGGGCAAAATGTGTCCTGCACAAATCGATAGTAAGAAATGAATGCATAAACACAAGACACGCTAGGCATTGGTTATTTAATTAGAATAGAACCAATTGAATCCTAAAGGGAAAATAAAGTAGTCACTTGAACCAAAGTTAGAAGTTCGGTTTGAGCAATCTAGGCAAAATGGTTTCTGGGAAAATTGAGACAGAGCAATCTGGACAAAATGAAACTGAGCATTATACATGCACGGATGCACATGTAAAGGGGAAAGCAGAAAGTGGTAGTCATTCGGTCAATACTTTGAGATTGTATTTAAAACAAATTCAGCAGGGAACTAGGTGATCTGTATTATGGATGTGGTTAGGTGGAGGAGAGAAATTACTGGTTATTTGAATTGAAATACATGAGACTGAATAACATTTTGAAGGCATTAGAAAGATTGGAATTTGAAAAAGGAAAATGTGTTTTTAGTCATAAAAAAGCAGAAAATTGGCTGGAAATGATAGAGGGAATTATAACTATTTTCTGGGTTATCTTGATAGTGCTTTAGTATTAGTAACTAAAAGTCTAAATATGGCTGGAAATGAACATTTTGCAAAGCATGATAAGAATTCGATTATAGCATCACATTACAAAAAAAAAGAAAAAAAGAAAAAAAAGAAAAAAGATAAAACTTTCTCTGTTACTTTTAAAATGTATTTTTTTTACAAGTGTAAAATGTAAAATAGATTAACAGGATTTCTGATGTTTCCCATTAATTATATTTCACTATGAAGCCAACGGGAAATAATGGTTTACACGGCGATAAAGGGAATCGATGCCATTCTTAGTAACTTAAAGATAATTGTTATATTTTTTGGATGATGCCAATTGTAAGTCATGAGTCTGACCAGTGGTTTGTATGACCTTGGTTTACAATCTGTGCTATCCACTTAAAATATCTGAATGCTCTCTTTTCTTAATTGTATATAGTGCCCCAGAAACATTTTCCCCTTGATTCATCATCATCATCCAAGCCTTATCCCACTATGGGGTCAGCTACATTTTTCCCTTGTTTGAGCTATATAATTAGATTGTCAGAGATCCTTTCTATTTTAGCAATAAGTGACGTATTCTTTGGTGGATCTGTCCGCCAAGCAAGAAAGCAGAAGATGCTAAGGTTGCAAGAGATTTTCAAGCTGTCTTGCAAGATTTCCAGAAAGTCCAACGGCTCGCTGCTGAGCGTGAATCAGCTTATTTATCTTCATCTCCACCAACTTCTTTTCCATCAAGGTGGAAATCTATATTCAATGTACACATGCTTCTTTTTTTATTAATATCCACATGTCTCAGTTTGTCATAACTTACCCAATGACCTAAACAAGTTTTCTGTTTTGGTAACAGCTCAGGTTCTGAAGAGAATGTGGCCCATGATATGGATGGGGAGAGTCAGCCTTTCCTTAGGGAACAAAAAAGGTACATAATACCACAAATAGATCTTCTGGTATTTATATCTGATTCTAACCATTCCCTATCCCTTTCTATTACCTATCTTTGTGATAGCTTGGTCTTTTAGAATTAAATTACAGAAAATACCCTTCAGATAGAGTTGTATATTAAGATGTTGTTGAGTATATAGTTGAGTTCTCCAAATTTTAAAATTTATTGTCTATAAGCCTGCAGTTTGTGTTTTCAGTTTTCATGGATTTTCCCAGATTCTCACAGTTTTACCAGGGGCTTGATGGGATTGATCAACTTGCTAATTTTAAGACTATTGAATTGGTATTTAATAGCTTGGGAATACTAGCAATAGGGCATGAAGTTTAACGTGATATTCATGTACTTAAATATAAAAATATATGAATTCGTGGGTCTGGTTTTTAGGCTCTAAAACCCCACTTTGTTGAAACAAAAAATGTAGACAGGAGGTACTAGCTAGGGAATGAGGTTGCATTCAATGAGGCCATAATAGAGGAAAGAGAGCAAGGGATTAAAGACATACTAATTGAAATTGGACAAGCAAATGACCTCACTGTTCTAGTTCATCAGCAGAGAGTGATGATTGGTGAGATTCCAACATCTCAGCAAACTATTATTTTTCTGTTCAACTACTAATGTTTTTGTTGTGATTTATTTCCTGTAAGCTGATGAGGTTGGATCAAACATTGAAGCCTCATCTTCTGTGACAGCACAAGCAAAAGTTCAAATATCCAAGGCCTCCAAAAAGTGTGAATTCTAGGACATCCTGGGTAAGTTTTAAACATTTAGTGTCCAAATTAAATTAAAGGGTTAAATAACATGCTACCAGGTGTTGAATCACCTCACTATCATTTGACCCTGATTACATGGTATTGCTGCATCATAACTGCTATATCACTTTTATTTCAAGAAGTGACACTAGGAAAGATGTGAAAGACTGAAACTTAAAAAAGAATAAAGGCTGCATTTGGAAACGATGCAAATGGAGTGTAAATCCTGGTTCAGGGTAAATTTGCACTTTGGTTCACTTTTACCTGTGTTTGGCAACATTACATTTATGCATTGACAAATGACAGATCAATGCATATTTACATTGATAATAAGATGTAAAAGTATATTAATAAAGAAGAAGTAAATTTGCATTCAAGTGGGCTTTTCATAAAAAAAGCATATGTTTTATTGGAATTCATGTTTGCATCCATTACAGCTAAAAGTCTGTTTGGTAAGAAGGTAAATTTGTCAGTGCAAAACTAACCCAATTTTGCACTTTATATGAACCGTTTTACACTCTACATATTTGCATTCACACTTATTTGCGTCGTTTCCGATCACAGCCAAAAAGAAAAAAAAAATGTAACATGATTAAAAAATAAAATACTAGTTAAACCTCGCATACTCTTTGAACATGTCCTGCAAGAAATTATCTTAAAAAACAGAAACTAGATTAGACCATTTTCCAGACTGGTTCTAATTATTCAACAGTTCAATAAGATGCCGATCCCATATAGTTGGGATAAGGCTTGGATGATGGTGATGATGAATAAGCAGGTCAGATGGTCTGACCTGTTAAACTCGTGAATACTATTTGGAACCATTGACTGTTTTCTAGTTAAACAGTATATGATCTTATTGGGTTTGTAAAATGCTGATTGAAAATTGCCTCATAATGGAGTTCTTCAAACATTTAAGATGATATGATAACAGAACAAGTGTAAAACGTGGTATGATATAAGCATCAGATAATCCATTTCATTAACATATAGAAATCTTCCTTACATTCACACAGGAAAGCTCATTCATCTATGTATTTACGAAAGAAGAAAAATGACAGGTGAAGGAAAAGGAAGCAACATACCAGAAGGACTGGAATACAAACAAACAGCAAGAGACATAATAGATAGTAAAGCAGGACCTTCCAATTCCCTAATTAACCTACCACACATACACAACATTATTAGTGGTCCCAAATGTTTGTGAAATAATAAATACTAATGCTTTTCAGATGATGCCGGTTTTCTTATTATAATCTTAAATTGTATTCATTTTAATTACCAACCTTGTTTTATGTTATCCAACAGTGTTGGTGGGTGCTACTGATTTTTATATTGGTGCTGGTCATTGTTCTCCTTGTCCTTATAATATAGCATGGTTTGCTATTGGCCTTACAAGTGCTGAGGTAAGGTTGGGGGTTTGGTTTGAAAGTTAAAAGCTTGTGTTGTATGTCTGTTACCATTTTATTTTTTCCAATGTAATGATTCTGTCATAAAATTAGATTTCTACCGTGTTTGAAGTTCCTTTTTTTTTCTGTTTTTTCCCACGCTGTTCGTTTCTCTTTTTTTTTTTTTCGAGAGGTGGGGTCCTTTGTGTTCTGTAAGCAGCTTTTGCAACTAATTCAAATATACAGCTCATGTTGGTTGATGCGTTTTCATTTCTCAACCACGAATTAGTCTGATATGATATGACTGAGTTTTCAGTATGATCTCAACTTGATGTAATCACTACAAGAAAAAACAGATAAGTCGGCGGTCTTGAACCGGCGGTCATAAAAAATTCCGGCCTCGATACATCAATGGTGGCGATTTTAACTTGACCGCCATCTATGAACTAAACTGAGGGTTAATATAAAGGAGGGCGGTGGTTCAATAAATTAGGCCGGCGTTTTCAGATTGAATCGGTCATGACTCTCTCTCGGGCCGGTATGAAGAAAACTTCCCTCTATTTCCAAAACATCAAAACACGCGGTACTTTGTCTTCTACATCAAAAACGTGCGGTAAGTTCCCTCCTCTTTTCTACTTGGCTTCACAGAAAGTTTTCAGTTGATTGCAGAGATTCAATCAAGATTAGATCTATATAGCAACCCTTGGTGTATCTTTGGTAGGAACAATTAGAAAAAGTCAAGAAGTTGAGGAGTAATTCCGAGAAGTTGAGAAAGACAAGTTCATCAATCTAGGTAATGCTTAAACCCTGTTCATCATTTCCCATAAATTAAAGGATCCCTTTTCATTTTTTTTTTATTTCTTGAATCTATGTTTTCTTTCTTTTTGTATCCCTTTTTCTATTGCTCGTTTTGCATTTCTTCAAAATTTATTCACAGACCTCAAGCAATAATAATGGCTACAGGCAGGTTCTATTCCATCATTTCTATTGGAAGAAGTCATTTGCCTGTGTCAATGTGAAGGTCTCATCATCAGACTCTTATCCTAATATATAATTTTGTCACTGTTAATTTCTTTTTTTGTCGTTCTGGTTTTTTGTAAGAAACCTTTGTCTACAGAATATTTGTCCAGTCTTACCTCTTTTAGTTTTATGATATGATTTTACTTGAATGCAGAGAGAATCCAAGAGAAAAGTTTTTAGCCAAAATCTTTTTAACAGAGGGAACCGAAGAGATGGATAAGAAGGGAACAAGACCTTAGTTTCCATTGATTGGGTAACCCTGCATTTTTTGTGTTTGTTTGGTTTTCTAAATACAAGTGTCTGTGTTTGGTTTGACTTGAGTTTGGGGTTTTGTGTCGGGTTTAATTTTTTTTTTTTCAGTTCGTTTCTTTGTTAAAGTTTTCTAGCGCTTTGTCTCACTACCATTGTCAAAGCCGGACCATCTTCAGAGTGTTTTTCTTCTTCTTATATATTTGTTCTTTTTATTAAATATCTTCTTCTAATTTTTATTGCTTATTTGTTCAAAATTTTCTTTTTGCAAGGGTTTGGTCCCGTCATTATCTGTGAATTTGTAATGCTGTTAAGCTACTCCTGAGTTCAATCTTTTCAACTTCTCTCATTTCTTGTTAAGAGAGTATGGATTTCACATTATTTTTTTGAAACCTATGGATTTCATCTGTTAAGGTTGTTTCCCTATCATTTGTATTTCTCCTCTTTCTTTATTTCTTTCAGTTTAATGGAAATTTTCTTTTGGAAATTGGTTTTCTTATTTGTATGTTGTTGCACCAATCGTTATGTATAGGTACTGTCGCTGGAATTATATTTCTATTAGTAGGGTTTATCTTCTTTGTTCTGGGTTTCCTTTGGTGGTGAGGTTGTCTAGTTCACAAAAATGCAATGGATCCAGGTGAGAGAAACTAGCAACATGCATCTTGGCAATTTTTTGAGGATATACAATAGAATGAACTACTCTTCTAGAAAAAGTTGGCAATTTGACCTTGGTGTTTCTTGAATTTCCGTCATCCATTACATATTTCACAGTATTCTCAATTTTTTTTGGATTTTTGTTCTCCTTTTTATAATATGTTTTAGATTTGCATTTCTTACTATTGGATATTCTATTTTTATTGAGACATGATTTCAAAATCTCAAGATTTGGAGTTTTCTGGTATACATGTAGCTTTGTAGGTAGACCAGAATTTTTAGCTTATGATGGGATATAATATATATTATTAGATTTTTGCATGTGTATGGAGAAGCTAATTTCTTAACTAATTTCATTTCTAGGATGGGTCAAATGGATAACTCTGGTCTTATTTTGAGATCTATTAAAAAAATTAGATTATTTGATTTGTGGAAATGTTCTACCCCTTACCTTGTGTAGAGCTTTATTTTCTGTTTGTATCCAAAAAAAGAGCAATTTGGATATCAAGTCAAACATTATTCCAAATAATTGTTTGAGTTTATTTAAACCAAAATAAGTTACATGAATCATATATTCATGTAGAAACTTGTTGGGTCATGAGTTGACCAATGACAACCCAACCCTTGAGCTTTCCAGGCTACAAATGCCAAATGGGTCTAACAATCTAGAAGTCACTCACAAGAATTCTCTCTCATCCGGTGGAAAGATAGCCAATTGGCCCTTTGTAACCTTAGAATCCAAAGAAATTAAATAGAAACAGAGCCCCTTGAAACAGTTAATGATTCTCTTTTTCTCTTCAAGAAATTTAACCAACTTTTTTTTCTAATGATTTTTTTAGTTTACAAGATCTATGGATTGTTCAAAATTATGATTTATCTTGTATGTTCTTGAAAGTACTCATTTATACATGCATGTAAGCTTTAGGAAAAGTATATAAGCTCAAGGAGATCATTGAATGTATGTTTATTTTAAAATTAATTCATAAAAAGACTTTTAAACACTAACAATTAGCTCATGATTGACTGAGTTGTACGTGTTAGGTTCATCATAGGTGGGGTTTGGATTGGAAAAATCAGGCTTTAACCCAACTAAATCTATCCGGTTTATACTCCTTTGTTAGGAGTCGAGGGGGACTCAAAGGGATTTTAGAGGAGAGAAAGAGTGATTCAGCCAGACCAACATCTCATAGCTTTTCATGTCTTGACTCAACCTCAGGCTTTTTACCAACAGGAGGTTGTGCAACTACACTATCAAAATTCAAAGCAACTTTCAATGAGCCAGGGGTGCTTGACATCATATGGAAATGGGTTGAACTTGGGAGTATAATTCCAGCACAACCTGACACGACAAATGGAAGCTTCTCTAGACCATGACCCATATTTTTAATTTGATAATTAAACTCCAAATTTTAACAGTTGGAGTTTCTAGGAAACCAAGACAAATTTCAAGATGCAAATCTGATGTCTACTAAAACATGGACAAATGCCCAAATTCAAGCTTAAAGGAGAAGGATCAATACATGATCTGAGTGGGAATGGCTTGCCTCTAAACAAATTTGGTAATATTTCCTAGAAGCAAGTAAATTTTATGGAAGGTGATTCCTAATGGGTATGATATACTCTTATCAGTTCTAGGCTTAGCTTTGTTGTCTACGTACATCTACATCAATCCCCCCAAATGTTAATCAATAGGAAAACAAGTCAATTTTCTGATTTTCCTCTTATACAACTTTTCCCAATGCATTATGCTTAGCCACTTCCTTTGTTAATGTTATTTTTCAAGAAAATAGATAAAAAACCTCTAGGCCCATTTGACCCAATGCATTATACTTAGTCACTTTCTTTTGATTTCTTTTAAGTATAAATTTTCTTTTTGCCATCTACAACTTTTTTTTTGGCAAAATCAAGCTAAAAACTCCATTAAGATAAATAAGAATTTGTACAAGGAGCTAGTAGACCCATTATAGTACCTCTCTGAGGAATGATTTCTGGTGTGAGTAGTGACTAGTAACAAATAATTTGAAAACTTATGTTTTGATGGATTATATGACTCTTTTTTTTTATGAATATGGATTATATGACTCTTGATGGAATATAAGTAGAAAGAATGCAAATTGATGGCATGAGGCTTGGGTGGTGATGCACTGATAATGGTGATGAGAATTAGTTCATAGTATATTACCTACTAGAGACCTTTACATCAATGTGCTCCTAGAACTGTGAATTTCTCTTGAAGCTTAATACTAGTGTGCCTTAGTTATATATTTAAGATCTGATGTTGCATTTCTAGTTCATATGATGACTTTTTTTTTTATACGAGGTGAAGTATCATTTCGTTAAAACAGAAAAATAATGACACATGTACAAGTTGAGGTTGTACAATGGGAGAGTACAAAACATATTATGCCACTATCCTATTTGAGATTACAAAAAGATTTTCAACCTTAAAAAGAGAACTAAGGAGAGATCTATATTCAGCTAATTGTGTTGAATACCAGGATAACAACTTCCCTAGTACTTTCTGCCCAGTGTTATCTACAATGAGTTTGAGGATCATATTTTGGATGGTTTCATAGGTTCTCATTGTTTTTAACCTCCAAACAATCTCAAGTATGTTATTGAGCTAAAGAAGTAAAATGGTTGAAGATGGAAGCAAAGTCCTTCACTCCTTTATGTATGAGTATACACATGTATATCTCTGCATATGATATGGAAAATTTTTCAATTAATTTCTTTTTGTTAATTTGGTAATCATGTAATTCTTTCTACTTCAGGCAACATATTAATTTTCCGATCTTAAAATGCTTTTTTGTTACATTCTTCTTTGGTTATAAATTACCTTTTTTTTTGCAGCAAAAGGAATTTTGGAAAGCTGAGTTGAAGGATTTCTGTAGCAAAAATGGATATGATTTCTGTAGCAAAAGGAATTTTGTTACATTCTCCTTTGCTTGTAGATGTTCTTGAAGGACAATTGAAATTTGAGGTCTGATGCCCTTGATACCATCCTAGTATGTAGTCTAGTACTATAATTCAGAAAAATATTTTTTGAGGGTAACTTTCTATTCAAAAGGGATAGTTAGGAATGTTGGCAATATTTTAAAACCCTATTAGGAAGTTGAACTGCTTTTCCTACCAGGTCATGGGTTAGTGGTTCAACATACAAGTCAACTGGTTAAGCCATGAAGCAAACAAGGTTGTTGAGTAAATGAAGAAAACCAAAGTTTCAGGTATTAACTTCTTTTCTTTTTTTTTTTTTTTGGTGTTCTAAAATAATTTCAAAATCATCAGAACTTGGAATATATGGAATGATTTATTTGTCTTGATAGGTGAGGAAGGCTTGAAAATGTTGCATATGGAGGGTCCTCATATATGGGTAGATTGGATATTACCTTGTCCATTGCATTAGCAGTAATGCACCTCTAATTCTATTCTTTATCTTGAACAACGTAGTAGAGTATCTTTTATTGCTTATGATCGACTTATATTTTTTATTTAGTTTTTGCTTATATGTGCTTGCTTTTTGTAAAATCCAAAATGGGTACACTTAATGTATGGAAATAAATGGAATTTTATCTGAATGTCAAGTTTGTTTCAATGGATACACCTAATATATGTAGGTGTTCACTCTTCAGGTATGTTGAAGATCAGTAGTCCTGTTGATCAGGTTTCTTGAATGAGCTTATCAGGCGATCAAACCTCCACCACTCAATATTTGTGGCTTCAAGGCCTAAAATAGAACTCAAAGAGAACGATGTCCCAAAAGGATGGGACATATGCATGAGTTCCATCACTTGTGAGCCAACATTGTATTGCATGTTTAAATTCTAAGATAGGATAGGTATCTAGCATATTAGTGTTCTATGTTTTAACCTGTTGTTTATTATATTTATTTGTTTTTAAACAGCTACTAGACTCTGGGATATAGAGAGAACATTGATAATCCTAATGTCAGGTTAAGTTTCCCATATCTGTTGATTCATAATTTAATTCATTGGAGAGGTAATAACTGAAAATTGTTTGCATCATCTTTAACTCCAAGGGTTAACGGGCAACTCAGGATTTATCATTAAAAAATATATACTTTTTTTTAAATAAATTTGATCTATGCAGGCGGTCATTCACTGCCAGCATATATATATATATTTTAATGTAGTTGACCTATGCCGGCGGTCATGACTGCCGTAGGTAAAGTTTTAAACAAAAAAGTGAACCTATGCCAGCGGTCATTCTTCACATTGCTGCTGCCTTACATAGTGGCTCGGCAGTCGTAATTGCCGTGTTTGAGTACATATGCTGGCAGATATGACAGAACCACCCGTATAAAAACAATTGGACCGGAGACCTAAGCCGGCATTTCTTTGTATCTAGGCTGGCAGTCATGAGCTAGGCCGACAGTGCTTAAGGAAGCAGTCTCAAAACCGCCAGCTTAGACCTAACCCGCGGTTTGGAAGGCTAACCCGGCGGTTTTGTGACTGCCGCCTTAGGCCCTTTTCTTGTAGTGAATACTGAGGGAGAACCTTGAGATTTGCTGAACATTTGACACATTGAGAGAGAGAGACCTCGCTAAGGCAACTCGTGGGTCGAGGCCTATGGGACATGGAAAGTTATCTCTTTACATGGTTGCGGTTGTGCAATGCTATATATTCATTCTTTTTCATTCTTATCCAAAATGCGAATAACAGAGCTTTTTTTTTTCTTGGGTATTTGGTGCCACTCATCACTAATAACTCCCTCTTTCCTAATTCGGTGGTTGTACAAATCGATTGCACATCAATACTGGAATGAACCAGCTATATACCAAGGAGTCACCCCTCGGTTGCTAAACAGCATGCAATGTTTTAAAAAGCAATATAGAGCCAAAACCATTATGGTCACCGATTTTCAGGTTGATAGATCAATCGTTCGGTTCAAATGGGCAGCCTGTTCTGACAATAAAAATTGAAAATAAAATAAAATAAAAAATGCCTGAAAACTATTAAATGGGTCGAAAGTTCAATTACCCAAATCAACAGATTGCTAACCGATTCAACACTTTTTTGCCATAAACCAAGTTTGGGGTAAAAACGGAACCAGTTGCCTAAACAATTCCTGGGTCGAATAGTCTGACCATTTGAGTCAACAATGATTTGAAAACCATGAGAGCATGGTTTCATTGGATTATTGAATCACTTTAGGGAGCTTTGCTCCAAATAAAGGGCATTGAAATGGTTCCAAATCTTACCCATTAGTAAAAATATGAATGGCTCAATGTCATCGTCAAAGGACTCTGATTTCATTCTTCCATTTATACCCCTGTCATTAAAATATATTTCCATCTTATTACATTTTCAAAAATTTATTAATGTAATTTTATTAGTGTAATAATAATTATTAAGTTACATTAATTATTATAGTAAAATTTGTTATTTTCAAAATACTGTAATTACAGTAATTTTGAAATAACTGTAATTCCAATAATAATGATTAGTGTAGTTAAATTAATTATTTTTTTCAAAATAATTATTATTGGAATTTTGGTGTAGTAATTAAATAGAGTAATCATTATAATAAATGTTTTACTATAGTTACAATTTCTTAAAATTAATTTTATTACACTAACAATTAAATTGTGTTGTTTTCCAGAAAAATTACTAGAAATCAATGAATATACAAAATTTTCAATTTAAATGTCATTTAAAATTAATTAAAATTTATAAAAATGAAAAATAAATTCAACAATTATAGCTCCAGGAAAGAGTTGGTGGAGTTGCAAATTGGCAAACAAAATATCAAAATTTTGGAAAAAAATGGAGAAGAAAAAAAAAATTATTAATGTAATTTTGGAAAATTTCTTTAAATGTAGTAAATAATTATTGAAAATTATTGGAATATTTTGGAAATTTGGGAATTTTTATTACATTTGATAGATTTTGGAAAATTATTTAAAAATTATGTAATTTTAATTTTAAATTATTAAAGATAAAATAGTATTGGTAAAGGAAAACGTTAATTTGAACCAATAATTACACAAATTATTTATGTTATTAATATAAGTTAGTATAATATTGGAAAAAATTAGAAAAGGAAATTATTAACTAACTTATATTGAAAAATAAAAGATAAATTAGTGTAACTTTGTAAATAATATATTTAAAAAATAAAATAAATTATTTAATATATTTAAAAAATCAATAATTTAGTATATATACTTATGGAAATTTACTAGGAGCCGACATTCAATATATCCTTTTGACCAGCAAATTAGAGATTGGGTTTTCCTGTGCATCACACGGGATCCCTACTAGTTTTAATCATAAAAAACAATAAACAACCAGCTTTTCAGGTCTATCATCAAACCATAGGAAATGAAAGAGAGTGGAAAATCTCAAGTTACATGAACTTATATATATAAAAGATGCGGGAAAGATATGGTATTGAAAGAGTTTTGATCTATCAAACCCCATCCATGAATTTTGATAAATAACATATTATTTGCTATCACGTTTATGATTACATTTTATTGGTCATTTGTTTTTTTTTTAAATCATGTATTTTCCATATCATAGTTGCACCCATAAAGTTGCATCTTAAGTACATGTTTGGTTCCATGGGTATTTATAGCTTTAAACATTTATTTGAAAACTCTAATTTACACATTTATTGCTTTTGTTGTTTGGTTGAACATTATTTTAAGTGTTTCCCAGATTAACACTCCATAAAGTAAAACACATTAGTATTTTATTTTAAGAAATGAAGAAACCAAGCATAACCTATATCTATTAAAAAGGGGTATTTGCCAAGTGAGAGAAATGGTTCTGTATTAAAGGTTAACACTTTAAGAAAATAACTCATGGCATATCATAACAAAATTAACATAGTCACGTTCGTTGTGACAAGGAAAGATAGAATGTTGGCTGCCACGGTCACTCTTACTCTGCACTCATCACGTGTGGATAATTAGTTTAAACAAAAAAAATGAAATAAAATAAATTTCAATGGAATAATATGATATAATGGAAATTAAGGGGGTGTTCATCTATAAAAATAAAGTATTAGACAACATGGTTGATTTTGTTTTTAAAAATAAATATAACTACCATATCAGCAAAAACAATATAATTTTATTGATATAACCGAAACAAAACCAACCATAAACATAACGGCAACTCTTGATGGGAGGGAAGAAACTGACTTAAGGCGCTTTGAATAAATAGCTTCACCGGAAAGTAGAATTTGCGGCAGTTGTTAAGCATATTTTTGCTTTTTCGAAATTTTACCAAACATGTTACATGACTACGACATGCATTTCAGTTCTAGGGTTATCACATTTTCATTGTAATGATAAAAAAAGGGAGAATGACGATTCAACCCAGAGTCAGAATTTTTAGGCCCATAGTACAGTTGGGGTGTGATGATGTGCAATCCGGCCGGTCTTAGCTGTCAATGACCTTGCCTCTGAACTCGGAAGCAGGGAACCTGAAACGGAGGAGATGAGAAAGCTCCGGGGGGAACTCGGTGTAAAGGCTCCGAAGCTCAAGTTAGAATCTTTCAAAGGCAAATAAAACCAGATAGCGCAAATTTTGCATACCTCCTCTTTGGGGGGGTGGAGAGTCTTTTATAACCACCTCGCGCACTCACTCCTAGACTTCTGTCAGGTCGGGAATAATTTATTCCGTGCTTCTGCCATTTCGGGCGTCATTGCCTCTGTTGGGGCAGAACCGTCACTGCTCTTTTTGTCGGAGCCGTCCCTGTAACTGGAG